TAGCCACATTTAAAAAGGTAAAGAGAAACAGAGAAAAGGAATTTAAATAATTTAATGTAACCTAATATATCCCAAAATATTATCATTCCAACATGTAATTAAAATTTATTAATGAGGTATTATACCTTGGTTTTTTTATACTAAGTCTTCAAAATTCTGTGTGTTCTTAATACTTACGGCATATTCCAATCCAGACAGGCCACATGTTAAGTGCTCAATAGCCACATGTGGCTAGTGGCTCCCATACTGAACAACGAGTATGAGATCCAAAAGGAATCATATCTTGTTCATTTTTGTATTCCCAGGTGTTTGACTTGTCAGAAATGCCTAATAAATGCTTGATAAGTGAATTAATAAATGAGCAATGATACAAACAGCTAGTGTTGATTGCTTACCATGTGAAAGGCACTGTGATAAGCAATATACATAACTGTTCATTCCTTTTCTTACCAGCAAATGATAGCTGGTATTCAACGGCTACTTGATGGTCATTAAGTAATTAGGTAGTTTTGGGAAAGCCACTTATTGTCTTAAGATCTCAATTTTCTCATTTGTGAAAGACAGAGGGGATGGGCAAAGTTACTCTTAGACCAGTTCAAAAATAGGTAAAGATATAAATAAAGGTAAAGCGTTTAGAGTTGAGTCATGAAAACAATGAATGGTCGGATAAGTTTTAGGAGACAATGTAGTGCAATGGAAGGGCACATGCTTTGGAATTAGACACACCTGGTTAGAATTCTGAACTCCACCACTCAGTTATGTGCTCTTAGAATTTAAATCCCCCAATCTTTTCACTGCTTCATCTATAAAATGACTACCTTGTACCAGTAGTAACTACCTTGTTGTGAGGCTTGGAAATAATATCTGTAAAGTGTTTGGCATATTACTGTATCTTCAACAAATAAAGGATAGACATTATAATTGGTTCTGGGAATTCTTTCACTCTATTTTTTTACCCCTTAGGATTTAACAATCGTAAAGGTAAGCCTTTAGGTAGGGCTTACCATGTTCCAGAAAATGTGCTAAAATGATTTAAAATATTAACTCATTCAGTTTCATAGCACCCCTGTGAGGTAAGCACCATTACTATCATTTCCATTTTACCCTTGGGAAACTGAGGCACAGAGGGTAAATAACTTGCCCAAGGTTACACAGATATTAATTGGTAGCGTTGGGATTCTACACTCAGGCCCGCAGTGCTAGAGTCAGGACTCTGAATCACTGGGCTCTACTCTTCTCAAGCCAACCACTGACTAATTTATTACGAGAATACTAGAATTGGCTGCTTTAATAAATATCATAACAGAGTGACTAAATGGCTTTGTTTATAAAGAAACCAATCTGTACACTTCTCAGCTCTGGAGAAAAAGAGATTAGGGACTGAGTCAACTTAAGTTTTATTTCCTTAAAGAGTCATACATTTGTATACACTGACAACTTTTTATACATAGGTGTGGTTTGCTGCCCATGGTTCCCCCAGTTCAGGTCCTTTGTTTCAGATGTTGCTGGGAGTTGGCCCCTCCCTAGAAGCTCAAGGGTGAGACGACTTACTGATCTTAGGGACCTTAGGCACAGTTCTCAAAAAGCACCACCCACAGAGCGGGAAGCAGTGTCTGTGCCTTATACCTCGGACATGCTGTGAGGTTAGAATACAGATAATGAACTACTTATGCCCATTCTGGGCATCGGCAGAAGCTCTGTTCTGACTCATGTACAAAAATCCCTAAAAAAGGAAGGAAAAAAAAAGACAGAAAAAAGTAATCTCCAGGTCTCAGGATTCTATTGAATTACTACTGCCCCCCAAATGAGCTCCAAACAATGACAATGGCACCCACAAAAGAAGGGCAAATGACCATCTAATCAGATGTGGGAAGAAACTGGCCAGCCAAATGGTTTCTTCTTTTCACAGTGATACTTGGAAAGTGGACAGCAGATGGTATTTAAAGAAATGTTACAAATACTGTTCCTCTTTCTCTAAATACCTATGAGCTAGAGAACACCAGAACACCGTTATCAATAAACAGGGTGTATCGATGGAGGCAGTTGAGAATGCGGGGGCCGGGGGGGTGGAGAGCGGGGGAGACAACAAATTTTACCTCTATCTTCTTAGGGTTTTTCAGCTGGGCCTGAGAATGAAACTGACACAAGACAGGAGAAACATATACAAATTCGTATGTTTTACGTGAAACGGGGACTCTGATAAGAAAATGAAGACCCAAAGAAGAAGCAAAACCTACAGGCCTTTTTTCACATTAAGTTGAACAAAGAGAGGCAATTGTGGGAAAGTAAACTATACAGGGAGGCTAAAGGAAGATAAGAATTAACAGGTGTGTTTCTATAGGATTCTCTCAGCTTTGATTCCCCATTGAAGAATTTCTTTTCTAAAGGGAGGGTACCTTTCACATGGGAGTTTTAAATTTCCTGTTTTCAAGAAGAAATGGGGAGATTAGAAGGCCACTTTTGCATCTGCTATTCTTTAAATGTCTTTAGTTCGAAATAATCCTTATGTCAAAGTAGCATATTTTGGAATGGCATATTCTGCCACATTTTATTCCTCCCCTTTAAAATTTCCCCTATTCTGGACTCTGAAATAAAGCTAGCATAATCTTAAATTAGTTTTCTCATCTATAAACCAGGTGACTATTTTTACAAATCACAGAATTAAAGAACCAAAAAGTTAAAACATATGACTTTCTCTAACTTATTTTATGTACTGCTGTGTTTGACATACATCAAGCAATTTATTTTTATTGTACAACTTGATTTTCAATTTAATTTAAAATTTTACAATCTTAAACATTTAGTAGAGATAACATAAACTCATGTGACTAGTAAACCCAAATAGGAAAAGTTGTATGTCTTCATTCTGTTTAATGTTGACAACCCTGTAGACATGACTGCTTTTATTAAACCAACAAACTTAAACTAGCTTTTATTTACCAAAGATTATCTCAGAATCTGTGAACTTGAGAGACATCTGGGTTAGTTTCTATATTTCTGAGAGTTTTAGGAAAACTTAATTTATATAAGCACTTATTTTTTAAACCAATTAAACAGAGCTCTTTTACAAAGTAACTTTGGCAATATCACCTGGAGGTAGAAAAATATATATATACATAGTCATATAGAGACAAAGATGCAAAAAGAGATCTTATAGTCTTCATTTTTAATCTTAGCCATGAGTTAGGCATAAATTCAGAAACACAAAATTTACTAACTTATACAAGAGTTATCTTTGCCTTATTAATTTTTTCCTTTCAATTTGATCTTCCTATAGGTAATAATAGGATATTTGTTTATGGTGAGATCGCTCTAAAAAAATCCTTTTTGATATATAAGTCCAAATATTCAAGACTACACCTATTTTAATTGTGACTCAAAACCAATAAGCTTTTTTTTTTAATGGCTTAAAACATAAAAGCCTTTGAACTCTCCTACACTGTGGGTGGGGATGTAAATTGGTACAGCCACTATGGAGAACAGTACGGAAATAACTCAAAAACCTGAAAATATAGTTGCCATATGATCCTGCAATCCTACCCCTGGGCATACATCTGGAGAAAACTCTCATATGAAAAGATATAAGCACCCCAATGTTCATAACAGCACTATTTACAATAGCCAAGATACAGAAGCAACCTAAATGTCCATCAACAAATGAACTGAATAAAGAAGATGTGAGATATATATATATATATAATGAAATACTACTCAGCCATAAAAAAGAATGAAATAATGTGCAGCAACATGGATGGACCTGGAGATTATCATACTAAGAGAAGTAAGATAGAGAAAGACAAATACCACATGATATCACTTATATATGGAATCTAAAATATGATACAACCTTATTGATAAAACAGTAAAAGACTCACAGATATAGAAAATAAAATTATGGTTATGGGGGGGCAAGGGGAGAGGGAGGGATAAATTAGGAGTCTGGGATTAGCAGATACAATCTACTATATATAAAATAAACAGTGAGGTCCTACTATATAGCACTGTATTCTGTATTCAGTAGGAAACTGTATTCAATATTCTGTAATAAATCATAATGCAAAAGAATATGAAAAAGAATTATACACATACATATATATATAAAACTGAGTCACTTTACTGTACACCAGAAACTAACACAATGCTGTAAATCAACTATATGTCCATTTTTTTAAAAGCTACCAGAAAAGTCAACAAGCCTTTTTATGGCTTAACCATGGACACAAGAGGCAACCCCAAAGAGCACCAAAGGTGCAGCCCTCCCAAGATCCAGCAAGTGTACTCTCAGAGCCAGCCTAAGAATGTAAAGCGCTTTATTGTCACAGGCAGTAAGAACAGTATTTGTGAAACCGGTGTCTCTTGTTTCCTACAGGAATGTGAGCTGCTTCCAGCTATGCACCAGCTAACCTGTAGCACCATTGGGCGACATTAGGATAAGGGCTTCCTAGCACTATGAAGAAAATGAAGGTAAGACCACAAAGGCTCCTTACGCACTGGAACCTCTCACTAAGACAAACTTCCTTGAGAGCTGGCAAGGTTAGACAAAGAGCTGCTTGTCATTTTGTGTCTTGGTTTCCAGCCTCTTTGGCTGGTTACCTGATTCAAGCCAACATCTGTACGCTCCAGTTTGGGGAGACCAGAGAGAATATTCTCACTGGTCACAAAGCCAAGCTCTGAAGACATGAAACAAGGTGAAAGGAGCATCTTATTTTACAATTCTCCTCCTTATGACAAACACCACTAAAGACAGACAAAACAACAACAACAACAACAAAACCCAAAAAACAAAAAAAACAAAGACTAGGAGGCTGCGGATCATAACCAATGGGTATACTCAGAACCATATTTACAGTCACCATTCAAAGAACTAATTTTACATATGTTTTTCTCCTGCCAATCTACATTTAGAAAGGAAAAACGGTAAGGGGAGACTCTCATTATTCTTGCTTTGGCTGGGCCATGCAGGCAGAGATCTAAGTGACTGAAGTGGTAAGAATTCTTACCTTCTGCTGGCTTTTTGTCAGATGTCCCAGGATCTCTCAGTGCCCCAACCACTGAAATCCCATCCTCACCACCAGAAACCATAGGAGAGCCAAAATCTTATCTCTGTCTTCATAGGGTTTTTTTGGTTGGGCCTGAAGATTAAATGGATATAAACCTGATCAACAGGGGAATTGTATACAAATTTATATGTTTTCTGTGACACAGAAACTCTCATGGGAAATGAAAGATCAAAGAAATGGCAAAATCTACAAGCTTTTATATTAGGTTGAACAAAGAAAGGCAATTGTGAAAAAGTAACTAAACTATATGGGGAGGCTAATGGAAGGTAAGAAATATTTCAACAAAGTATATGTAGATAGGAGTCTCTTGGCTTTGATTTCGCATTGAAGAATGTTTCTTTTCTCTTGGTATAAGAAGAGCATCCTTCACATGGGAGTTTTAATCTCCTGTTTTCAGGAAGAGACAGGGAGATTAGACATCTCTCCTTGCATCCTCTGCTTTCTAAGTGCCTTTAGTTCAAAATAATTGTTGCATTAAAGTGGCATATTTTGGGGTGGCATATTCTGCCACCCTTCTAGAACCAGAAGGTCAGTGGTCAGGACACAAGGAATGATTTAGAAGAGCCAAGAACATAGCAGCTCTGTTTTTGTTCCACCTAGACTAACAGTGCTGAATAACTGAGGGTCAGATGATTCACCTCCAGATGAAAACCAAACTTACATTCCAGATTTCTGAAACAGTCAGAACAGATACTGGGCATTAGGTTTAACCATCCTTTAGAGATGAGGAAATGTCACAGAAACCTGTCTGTACTTGTTTAGACTGAATATTGAGGCACTAGTGGAAATGTTAGAAACTTGGTAGAAATTTTTGGGTTCTTTTAAATAAGAGGCTTTGAAAATGTTTAAAGCAGACAAATTCTGAATGTCATAATTGAATACAAGGCACAGTAGAGATCACCAAATGAATTGCGGGGGATACTGTGCACGCTACAAATTTGGCTTTCTTAAGAAAAGCTGCCTAAAACTCTTTCCAGTGCTGTGAAAGTGAGCATCTCTGATGCATTCTAGATAGCTGTAATGGGTTCTTCACTGCAACTACAAAGAAAGTTGTGTTCCTTTTAGTCTTGTTAAAACAGACATTTTTAATGTGAAATAGTTACTTTTAAATAGTTCACACTCTCCCTTGTCATGTAATCTGCAAAGATAAAGCATGGTGAAAATAATTATTAATTCCATGAGTTCCAAGACATATGTAAGATCCTGTGCTACTCGTTGCGGGGAATACAAAGACATGAGGACAAGGCAAAATGACCTGATCTTGTTTTGGAGGAGGCAAATGTGGCACAATAGAAAGATTATGGAGTTTGCAATCAAATAGACCTAGATTTCAATCCCACTTCTGCCACCTAACAGCTGTGTAACTTTGGGCAAGTTACTTGTCTCATTAAGCCTCAAGTTTCTCTTCTACAAAATTCAGATGACTAGATGAATATTTGCATAGGAATGCTGTGAAGACAGACTGAAGAGTCTCAACAGAACTGTGTTTAATAAGACACTGACAGGACAATATATCATATGAGTTAGAAAACGATACATGCCGTACGAAAAGTGTTTCCTTAGAGCAGGAAGAAGTACTATTTGCATAAAAAAATTGATGCTCAACTTTACTTGTCTTCTGTTTTTAAAGAAGCTAAGAATGTCTGAGGGATGTATAAAATAGCTGTAACTACTTTTTATGTGTAGCACATGTGTTTTTGGTGTTTATTCCTAAGCATTTTCTCAGTAATATATGGTATCTCTAGGCTGTCAATGATAATAGTACATTTTTCACTTGGTGTAATTTATCTTCATTTACAGAACTGTATTTCTGTAGCAAGAATCAAAAGCACATACAGGTGTTTCATATTTGAATAAAATTACAATGTTGTTGATTCCAATATATGGCAGCCCAATTTTCAGGGCTCTTGTTGAGGAAAGATGGGAAAAGCATATGAATGAATAATTACCTTTTTTTTGGGTGTTGCTGTATTTTATAGGTTAGACTCTGGGCAAAAAGTGAATTCCTTTTGTGAAGACAATTACTCACTTTTTTATAGAGATAGGACTTCTTGGAATTCACTTAAGAATGATGGTGCACTGTGAGGGACACTAACTATATAACATGCCTTCCCCATGAGATTGTACCACCTTGAATAATAAACCATTGTTTTTACATCCTCTTCCAGAAGCAGGCTGTCCCACTGTAGGGGGTCTTTGCTGGAGAGACATGTTATATACACATTGACTTGAATCAAATAAATGCCTTTATAATCTCAACCCTAAAATTATTTTTGAAAATCATAATGTGCTCATTAAGCAATTACTTAATTTCTTCATGTTCTATTCTCAGAACTAAATATTAATTTATGTCTTTATATATAGCTATATTATTATATTTATGTATAGCTACTTCAAAAGATCAAGATATTTGTAAAGAAAGGAGTCATTAGAAATAGTGTCTAATTGCATATGGCATGGTGATAAAACTTAGCAGTGGTTCACTTAGCTCTGTGTCTTCTAAGAAGATGCCCCTAAATTCCCTAGGCTAGGTTAGATCCTTTTTGTATGTATTCCTTCATCCTGAATTATATTGGAATTATCTGTTTATGTTTGTTTCCCTGTGCTCTGTGGAAAATACTGTCTTGACTAACTCCATGAGCTTAGTTCAGGGACAACTACTTTAAACAAAGGTATTTATCTGAATTGAACAGCTTAATGGCTAATAAATGGCTAAATTAATAATCCTGTCATCTTTACCCGTTTGGCTCCTGGTGCCCTTACACAGGCTAAAATTTGGCCCAGAATTGTAATGCTTGTTTTGGGAAAAATGTTATTGACCCATAGCTAAGAAGTGTTTCATCTGACCCTGGATATTTCAGAATTCTGCCACTGGGCTGGGTATTAGGCACATACATCTTGCCTAACCTAATGAATGGCTCATCCCTGTGAGTAGGCACCTGTGTCAGCTTTGTGTTTTGTGCCTTTCTCCAGGAATGACTGTACAGTCAGCCCTCCATATCTGTGGGTTCCACATCTGTGGATTCAAACAACTGTGGATTAAAAACATTCAGAAAAAAAATTCTAGAAGAGTTCCAAAAAGCAAAAGTTGAATTTGTTGTATGTCAGCAACTATTTACCCAGCATTTACATTGTATTCACAACTACTTACACAGCATTTACATTGTATTAGGTATTATAAGACATCTAGAGATGATTTAAAGTATACAGGAGGATGTGCATAGTGGTTATGTTAGCAGTAGTTAATTTAGCTCTGTGTCTTCTAAAAAGATGCCCCTACATTTTCTAGGCTGGGTTAGATCTTTATATGCATTCCTTCATCCTGCATTATATTGGAATTATCTGTTTAAGTCTGTCTCCCTGTTACACCCTATGCTCTGTGGAAAATACTGTCTTATCTAACTTTATATGCCAAGTTCAGGAACAAGTACTTTAAACAAAGGTACATCACCGTCTTATATAAAAAACTTGAACATCTGCGGATTTTGGTATGAGGGTGGTCCTGGAGGGTTCTGGAACGAATCCCTCCACAAATACCGAGGGATGACTGTACATGGTGCTGGACCGTGAGCTCTTCCAAGGAGAAGTCGTGGTATTCAAACTAAAGTTTCCTGGGTTTATAACTTAGGTCGCCCACAAAGTAGGCAGCTCATTAAACTTCTGTAGTTTCCAAATGGGTGCAATGTCGTGGCTGCTTTTGTTCTACTAACAGTGCCATGCACTAAAACAAGCTCTAAATCCTCAAAGAAAAATTCTGAACCATCTTGGCTCATTCTTAGAGTACAAGCTTGTGAGTGTGATTTACCATGCCAGGAGCTTTCACTTATTTTAAATTCTCACACTTTTTTTTTCTTCCTATGGTTTCTAGTTTTTGAATGATAGCTAAATCCCAGTAGGATTGTTTATACCATGGATGTTTCATGGAGCTAAGGTTACGATAATATTATTGCAGAGTTTTTCTCAGAATCCTTTTATCATTATAAAAATTGAGATATTATACGTAAAGTGCGTTGGGTGCACTAACTTAAGTATATGGCTCGGTGAATTATTACCTCTGCACACACCACCTCTGTGACTACCACTGAGATCAAGAGACAGAACGCTTCCAGCACCGTTATGCCTCTTCCATTCCCCCTCTCCCCTCCTCCCTTCCCAGGTAACCATTATTCTAACTTCTCTTACCATAAATAAGTTCTGTATGAAATTATTTTGGAAGAAGTGTCAAGTGGAAGTATTTGGCTCATAATTCCGAGGGGCTGTACGAGACGCACGTTCGGCTCCCTTCCTATGGGGCATCACGCCGAGGTTCCAGCGGACGACAGGACGGCCCCGCTCTCACCGACCCGAGCCAGCCCCGTTAGAGGCGCGCCCGGCCTCACGTAGACAGTGCGGGAGCACGCCACAATGGCTGCCCACTG